ATTGGAAGGACTGATGCTGAAGCTGCAGCTCCAATACTTTGGCCACCTGATGTGAAGAATGACTCCTTAGAAAAGACCCTAACAGTGGGAAAGATTGAAGGCAGGAGGAGAAGGGGACGACAGAGGATGAGATGGTTGGATAACATCACCAACTCAATGGACCTGAGTTTGGGCAAACTCTGGGAGTTGGTGATGGACAGGGAAGCCTGGTGTGCTGCAGTCCATGGGGTAATAAAGAGTCGGACATGACTGAGCGACTGAACAACAACAAAGTTTGGTTACAGAAATTATTCTCCCCCTCCCCAGCTGGTCCTTCTCCAACACCTGCTCCTGGCACTCCCTGCCTCAGAGGGCAGCTGGCTCCATGTGATACAGAGTTAGGCCTAAGCCTCCCGTCCCACCAGCTGCCAGTCTGTCTCTCTGCTGTCACCTCCACACACCCTTCACACATGAACACTGTTGATTCTCTCCAAATACCCTACACTTCTTCATATACTCCCACCTTGGGACACGCCTCGCCCACAGGCTTCTAATACTTTGGTGTAATTATTTACATCCGGCTCTGTCCTCTTTCAAAGGTGAGGGCTCTGTCTTATTCATATTCGTATCTCATTTCCCCACCAACAGCTCCAGCCTTGTGGATGCACTCAGCAGTTCATGTGTTAATTCACGAGAATCAAAAGCTTCCAAAGATGGAATGGGCTGCCTCAGGAGAGAGGACATTCCACTTCATGGGAGATGTGCCAGCATCAGTTCTACCCAGGGCTGGCAGTGATGCCAGAGAAGGGGCAGAAGACTGGGCAACTGACCCTCAGGAGCCTGTGCTATGCTCAGAGTCTGAAGGCCCCTGAGTATTGGGAAAAGGCAGCAGTGGCTGCAGGCTGAGGGGAAGGATGCTGGGACCAACATGCATGGAGTTCCAGCGGCCCCCAGGGAGTGGGGAAGAAGGCTCTGGTGGCAGACGCCAGCAATGGGGGCAGCTCAAATATAATGGAACGTGTATTAAGCTTCCTGAAGTCCCTATGGAAAGCATATGGTAACTGACTCAACCACAGTGTCTGTGCCATGCACCATGCCAGATGATGCTTTAATGCATGGAGGGAGGTATGCACGGGTGCAGTGCAGTCCCTATAGATGAGATGCACGGTAGATGGCTTCCCTGAAAGCTCAGTTGGTAAAGAATCCGCCTGCAATGTGGGAGACCTGGGTCCGATCCCTGGGTTGGGAAGATCCCCTGGAGAAGGGAAAGGCTACCCACTCCAGTATTCTGGCCTGGAGAATTTCATGGATTGTACAGTCCATGGGGCTGCAAAGAGTCAGACAGGACTGAGCGACTTTCACTCACTCACTCATGGTAGACAGTGTGTGTTGTATGTGTTAGTCACTCAGTCATGTCCAGCTCTTTGTGACTCCATGGACTATAGCCCGCTAGGCTCCTCTGTCTATGGGACTCTCCAGGCAAGAATACTGCAGTGGGTTTCCATTCCCTTCTCCAACGGTAGAGAGTAAAATAGGAGAAATTAAACTAAGCCTTTAAAAATCTATTGGGTTGGTCAAAAAGTTCGTTGGAGTTTCTCTGTTACATTGTACAGAAAAACACGAACAAACTTTTTGGCTGACCCACTACTTCTGCACCTATCTTTAGCTACAATACCAGTTCCAGCCCATGTCTTCCTCAAACACTTCTTCACTCCAAGGTTCTCAGGCAGCAGTAGGCTTATGAAAGGTGGTCTGATGGAGGGAGACGGGTGGAGAAGCGAAGGAATCACAGTAATGTACTGTATTGCCCCCTCCACCATGGACAGCTCCACATTTAGAGTCAGGAAAACCATCCGACCCTCCAAGAAGATAGAATTTGTTCAGTTCAGTTGTCCCAGCAGTCTTTTTATGTAATCCAAATCTATATACTCTGGGTGGACTGGGTATTTTAAAAATCCCAGCAATGACTATTCTGATTCCTGGTTTGATTTGAAATCCTGTGACACTGATGGAAAACCTCAGGAAAATGACCAGCACTGGGAATAGCCAAGACTACTTTCCATTACACATTCACCAAAAGAGCAGTTAAAATTTTTGAGTTCTTGCCTATTATAGAGTAGGGCAAGAAAAATGCAAATTTTAGATACAGTTTCAAAGATCTTTCATCCAGATCATAGTCATTTGGGTTTTTTTAGTTTTCTTCTTTTTGGCCATGCCCCATGGCATGTGGACTCTTAGCTCCCCAACCAGGGATTGAACCCATGCCCCTTGCGGTGGAAGCACAGAGTCCCAACCCCTGGACCACCAGGGAAGTCTCTGGATCATAGTCATTTTTGAAACAAGTCAAATAGTTATTCCTTCCATCTTTCACTGAGATTTTGTTGGGCTGTGAGGCGAAGATGGTTTGGAGTAATTTAGCATATCATGAACATCTCCTTCAATGAAGAGGTGTGTGAGGGACTCAGAGGTCAAATACCAATAGAAAGCCAACAAACTGGATAAGAAGGACAGTATCATTCAGGCCAAAATATCACCTTACATCTAATATCACCTCACATCTTAATGATATGAACATATGAACATATCACCCTTACATCTAAAGGATATGAACAATTAGTTCCACAAGACAGAAGTGCATTGTGCAATTATATAGGTAATGCTATCTAGGTAAATGGCTCCTTTCCCCGTGTGTTGGGAAGAGCCCTGCAGACAAAGGCTTCCATCTTAGGCTGCCTCCCCATCGTACTCTATAAAAGCATTCTCTTGTTCCACCAGCACTCAAGGAGCACCACAGATGTACCAGGGACTGTGCTGGGGGTGCAAAGATGGATAAGACATGGCCATGGCCTGCGGCACTTCACTCTAGCTAGGGACACACACATGATCGGGCTGCCAAGGGAAGGCAGTTCAAAAAGAGGTCCCTGTGCAATGAGTATCTGCATCTGAGGAGGGTGCGGGGTGTGTTGAATCGTGCCCCAGGGAGAGAGGGCATGTCCAGGCTGACTCCTCAGCGGGGCCCTGACCTAGAAGCTCAGAGGAAGGGCATTCCAAGCTCAGAGGACAACTGGAGCAAAGGGACAAAGCGGACTCCATGTACAAAGTACAAAGGACAGACTCCGTGGGCCTGGAGTGTAGGGTGTGTGGAAGGCAGAGCACAGAGCAAGGCTGGTGAGATAAGGAGAGAAACCCAGTAACAAAACCCAGCAGTGGTCAGAGAGCAATGAGAAATTAGAAGGCCCCAGAAGTGTCCCAGAAATGGAAGCAAAGACAAGAGCATCTAGGAAAAGTACACAGTCAGCAGGGTCCTTATGCCTGGGCAGGGACTGAGCTGAGACCACTGGACTGGGTGGTCCAGAGAACGAGAACTGAGCCAGGATGGGACAAAAGTCAGAGCACGTGGCCGAGGGATGTCAGTTGCCACTAAGAGGAGGACTGAGCAAGGATGTGAGTGGAGGAAGAGGCAGGAGGGAGGGCGGAAGGAAGGGTTGGGGCCAGTTTTTGTAGACTTCCTTGTGTTCTAAGCTGATAAGACACTACCCAAAGTGAGAGCCTTGGATCACAAAGGGAGGAGGAATGAGAGAAAATGTGCTCCAGGGAAGGGAGGGTAAAGAGGCTAGCCTGGGGCAGAAGACACAGCCCTCTTCCTCAGGACGCAGGAGAAGAGGCAAGGGCACACGGAGTACGGGTAAAGCAGGGCAGGAGGGGGACAACCAGGAGGTAGATGAGAACCCCGCTGAGGGCATAAACCGCAGGTCTGCTCTGACGCCCCGGCAGCCATTTCCCTGGAGTCTGAGCAGCACAGAGCGTGGAGGGTACTTGGCAAAGGAAGTAATTCTAGGGAGCCCACAGGGAAGGAGACTCCCCTCCTTCCAGCCCCCCAATAAGTCCCTGGGACCAACCAGAGTCTCTGACCCGAAGAGAAATGCCTAGTGACAAATGGGACAGCTTCCAAAGCTCAGGCACCTTGTCTGCCTTGCAAGACATCAGTTAACTGCTTCAGGAGGAAAGAGGTTTACCTGATTCCACAAATAAATGTATCCATTTTTTTTGCCTCCGTATATGGTGCCATAGGATATTATCATGTGACAGGATGACATATGGCAGGACTGGACTAAGGAGACGGGAAGTCCAGATCATTAATTAGCCAGTTATCTGTCTTCTTCTGGAAGGAACTTTCTTGGGAGCATAGAGCAATTTCATTGTTAATGAGGAAAATGATTGCCCTTCAAACAACAGGGTTGGGGGAGGGGATAAATTAGGAGATTGGAAAAAATAAATAAATAAATATAAATAAATTAGGAGATTGGGATTAATAGATACACAGTGTGTGTGTGCTCAGTTGCTCAGTCGTGTCTGACTCTTTGTGACCCAATCAACTGTAGCCCACCAGGCTCCTCTGTCCATGGAATTTTCCAGGCAAGAATACTGAAGTGGGTTGTTGCCATTTCCTTCTCTGGGGGATCTTCCCGACCCAGGGATCGAACTCATTTATGTCTCCTCTTTGGCAAGTGGCTTCTTTAACAGTTGCACCACCTGGGAAGCCCTAGCAGATACACGCTACTATATATAAAATAGATAAACAATAAGGTCCTACTGTATACCACAGGAACTATATTCAATATCTTGTAATAATCTATCATGGAAAAGAATATGAAAAAAATACATATATATGTATAGCTGAATCACTTTGCTGTACACCAGAAACTAACACAACACTGTAAATCAAGTACTCTTCCATAAAGAAAAAATAAGAGTCCTGTGATTTTATGTCCTCTAAAATTGAGCCTCAAACAGGAAGTCGAGTATTTTGGTGCTCAGGTTAATTTCTATGTAAACACCTAACTGGTGTCTGCGCCACAGCTGAACCTTAGCACATGTCAACAGAGGCTTGCAGAGGCTCCCTGGGAGACATCTGAAAGTCCATGCCTTGTAAGCATGTGCTGCAGACCCAGGGCTGGCATCTCTTACTAAACCTGAGTGTCATGCCGCAGGGGACAGGTGAACACAGGAGGACCCCTCACCTGCTTCCTTTATATGCTTGTAAACATCATCAGAGCCAGCAGAAGAGTACGGAATGTCATCGTGGGCCACAAAGTCAATCTGTCAGAGAGAGAGAAGAGTGACATCACCACAGGGATGGGGGTACATGTCCGTGATATGAAAATACATATTTTTAAAAACAAAACAGCTATGATAAAGCAGTTTATTTTTTATTTTTATTTTTTTCCATTTATTTTTATTCGTTGGAAAAGCAGTTTAAATAAGCAATTTATAAGGTAGACTTGAATCCTGGACTGGAAGGTATTTCCAACTGTCTTTGTTTGCACGAGGGCTTCCCTGGTAGCTCAGCTGGTAAAGAATCCGCCTATAATGCAGGAGCCCCCAGTTCGATTCCTGGGTCAGGAAGATCCCCTGGAGAAAGGATAAGCTACCCACTCCAGTATTCTTGGACTTCCCTCGTGGCTCAGACAGTAAATCTGCCTGCAATAATGGGACCTAGATTGGTTTCTCTCCTTTGCTGGTCCCTCTTTCTTCTCTTACCTCTAACAGTAGGTTTTTTTGGCCTTCTATTCTTCTGCCTCTAAAATCTCTCCTTCAACTAAACAGACATTTCTCCAAAGAAGACATACAGATGGCTAACACATGAAAAGATGCTCAACATCACTCATTATCAGAGAAATGCAAATATATTACTCAGCCATTAAAAAGAATACATTTGAATCAGTTCTAATGAGGTGGATGAAACTGGAGTCTATTATACAGAGTGAAGTAAGTCAGAAAGAGAAACACCAATACAGTATACTAATGCATATATATGGAATTTAGAAAGATGGTAATGATAACCCTATAGGCGAGACAGCAAACGAGACACAGACGTATAGAACAGTCTTTTGGACTTTGTGGGAGAGGGCAAGGGTGGGATGATTTGGGAGAATGACACTGAAACATGTATATTATCATATATGAAATGAATTGCCAGTCCAGGTTCGATGCATGAGACAGGGTGCTCAGGGCTGGTGCACTGGGATGACCCTGAGGGATGGGATGGGGAGGGAGGGTGAGAGGGGTTCAGGATGGGGAACACATGTACACCCAAGGCTGATTCATGTTAATGTATGGCAAAACCACTACAATATTGTAAAGTAATTAGCCTCCAATTAAAATAAATTTATATTAAAAATAAAATAAAATCTCTCCTTCAGAGATTTCATTCATCCTTCAGATTTTAATCACCTCTACTATGAAGACCCAAAATCCTCATTTCCTATCTCACTGATGGCAATAGGCCCTCCCTCACACATAAGTAATACTGTTTTAATTTTTTGGCTGTGCCACACAGCATGTGGGACCCTACTTCCCCAACCAGGGATCAAATCCATGCCCCTTGCAGTGTAAGTCAGAGTTCTAACCACTGGACCACCAGGAAGTCCCCCACTTAAGTTATATTTTATATTGTAGAAATGAATTCACGTCTCTTCTCATTTGATTCATACAACCACCTTGTGAGGCAGGTAGGGCAAGTATTACTAATTCAGTTGGGTCATACAGCTGCTGAAATGATAAAACTTGCCCAATTTGCCCAAAATCATCCTTTTCTCTATTGCCACCCTTGCTGTCACTTTAAAAACCTGTCTGGAATCTCCACTCATCCTTAAAACTGGTGTCCCTTCCAATTGTGCCTCCCTTTTCTCATTTACTTAGGCTCCAGACACCCTAGAATCAGCCTTTGTTCTCTACTCCCTTCACCGTCAATAGCAAAGAAGTCACAAGTTCCAGTGGGGTGTGTACGTGTGTGTGTACTCACATGAGTGCATACATGCATCTCTTCTTCTCCATTGCTTATGCCAAGTCCAGGGCCCCATAACCTGGATTATTAATACCAACTTGTACCTGACCTTCCTCACCGCAGGCTCTTTCCTCTCCAGCCATCCCTCTGTCACATGGTGGGGGAACCTCCTTCAACAGAGTTCTCTTTTTGTCATCCTTATACCTGCTGATCTTCACTAGTTCCTTGTTCCCTCCTACATCAAGTAAAAACTGCTTGCCTGAGGAATGTCCTGGCAGTCCAGTGGTTAACACCCCATGTTTCCAATGCAGGGGACACAGGTTCAATCCTGGGTTGGGGAACTAAGATCCCACATACCACGTGACACGGCCAAAAACCAACCAAACAAAAAAACCTCCTTGCCTAAACTTCAAAGCCCTTTATTAAAAGGCTTCACTCCAGCTTGAGAGGTAAAGTAGCAGTTTAACTTGCCTGGGTATGGATTGCTGCTTCATCACTTACTAGCTGTGTAACTCATAACTTAGTGCGCTGTGCGCTCAGTTGTGTCAGACTATTTGCACCCCCATGGACTGTAGCCCGCCAGGCTCCTCTGTCCATGGGATTTCCCAGGCAAGAATACTGGAGTGGGTTGCCATTTCTTCCTCCAGAGGATCTTCCCAACCCAGGGATCGAACCTGCATATCCTGTGTCTCCTGAATTACCGACAGATTCTTTACCACTGAGCCATTGGGGAAGTGGTAAGGATTAAATCAGGATTTCTCCACCTTGGTACTAGTGACATGCTGAGCTAGAGAATTCTTTGCTGGAGGGGGAGAGTCAATCTTGCACATTGTAGGAGGCTTAGCAGCACCCCTGGCTTTACCCCTTGGATGTCAGTAGCACCCCTTTAGTTGCTTCCATTGCTAACTATCCCTTGGGGGCAAAGTTGCCCCCACTTGAGAATTACTGGATTAAATAAAACAATTATGTAAAAGTGCTAAAAAGGATAACTGGTACACAGCAAGTACTCAACAAATGTTACAGCCATTGATTCTATTCTTAGTACTCAAACTTAGTTGTCCTTCCCTCTCCGTGGATGACGACAACAACAACGTCTCAGGGTGGCCATGAGATTGAATGGGATTCCTGTAAGAGCAAAGCCCTTAGCCCTGGGCTGGGTTCATGGCAAGTTCTCGATAAACCGCAGCCATCACAGGCAGCCCCGTAACGCTTCACACAAGTTGAAGATACAATAGATGCTTAGTAAAAATGTGTTCGTGATTGCTGGAAGTAAATCATATTGTAGTTTTTCCTTTTTCTTTTTATTCTTGCTGGGAAATTGTCTCCTCGGCTATTACCCATGCACATTTATCAGCATTCTCTATTCTCTGCTGCACCGTGAATTTAAAAATAGAAAAGAAAACTCTTAGAACAGCTTAATCTTATTTTTTTGTACTGCTTATAAAAGGAAAGAATAGCTCCTAATGTAGGGCTTGTAGGGAGATACAAAGCACAAAATTTCATGCAGATCAAAAGGATTTCTCATGTTTTCAACTAATAAAAATCTATCAGTAGGAGCCTCAGGGTCACAAAATCAGAGATAGAAAGTTTTTTCCTTAGAGCCTGACCCCTGCCCCTCTGGATAAGATGTGTGGTCATTTGTTCCATGCAAAATGATGCCTGTGAATCCATAAGCATCAATAACGATGGTGATAATGGTGATGATGTTTTTGGACCTCTTGCTTTGGGCCAGCCAGTGTGCTAAGGATTTCACAACATGATCTCATTAGATCCTCAAAACAGCAGTTTACAGTTTAGGTGTGTTCAATGTCTTGGTCAAGGTCCCACAGTTATGAAGGGACAGAAGCCACACGTGGACCCGAGTGGTCCAGCTCCAGAGCCCACAGTGAGGAAGGAGGCGGCTGTCAGTCCGCAGGCGTGAGCACAGGACAGGTGCTGCATCAAGTGACACCAGATGACAGCCCCTGGAGTTACCACTTTCCTAAGCTGGAAGACTCCTTGGATTTTTCTGGGTATAAGAGGCTGAAACAGACAACTCTCTAATCCTGTTACTTACAGAATGTGGAGGAATAAGTACCTTGTGTTTTTCCAGAAACTCTGGGGTGAGTGTCCACGGAGCATCTCTAATGACTTCATCCACATAGCGACAGTGTCTCAGAGCTTCGTATCTCTCCGCTTCATTCATCACGGTGAAACCCTTGAATTTGTGAGTGAGGTCGTCGCTGCAAACTGAAGCAGGTAAATGCATTAAATGCTGTTTGCTGGCCCAGGCCCTGCCCACAGTCAGCCCAGTACAGACTAACTCCTCAGCTAGACAAAGAACTCAGCCTCGCTAGGTGTGTGGCATAATCAAACTCTTCATTTTTGTTTCTTTTTGTTTTTTTAATGGGAACAAAGGATCAGTGAGGCAAACTAAAATTCACTGGCAATGGAGAATTTTATTTTAGTGCTAATTACAAATGCATTCTCCACTGTGGCTTTTATTAAAATTATTCTCCACACCCCCGAATGTGACTTTTACATCCTTTTACTTCCTTATCCTACCCTTCAGTGAAAATTACTATTCAGAAATAAAATGACCAAATGAACAGAGAAAAGACAGCAAGGAGACCAAGAGGCCTGAATTATTGAACGTTGGAGCAATGAGTTCTAGTTCCTTAACTATATCATTGTGCTTAGTAACCTAAGTGTGATTCACATACATGCACATATGCACACACACGTGTGCACACACACATGCTTCTGTTCCATGGATTGCGGTCCAGTCACTACACAATCAAGAGGAGAAAGTCACAAAATAGAAGATATGGTCAAGCCGAATTCATCCTTCCCATACCCCATCTTTACTAGATCTCAAGCTCCTGAATCCTCAAACAGGCATGATACTATCCTCTACCATCAGCTTTAGAAACGATTTTTTGAGGATTTACATATAAGAGCTTTGAAATAGGGACTTCCCTGGTGGCCCAGTGGTTAAGATTAAACCTTCCAATGCAGGGGGTGCAGGTTCGATCCCTGGTCAGGGAGTGAAGATCCCATGTCTTAGAGCCAAAATACCAAGACTTAAAATAGAAGCAATATTGTAACAAATTCAATAAAGACTTTTAAAAAATGGTCCACATAAAAAAAAGAAGTGCCTTGAAATAAAGTGAGCATTAAATACTCTTCATTATCATATCCAGAATATATTTTGTTGGCAAAAGCAGCTTTTCTACATGTCAGGAAGAGATGGCATTGTGGCTACAGGTCCGGTTCATCAACATCCCCATCAGCATCTTACTGCAGCCAGTCAGACTAACCTGACCGCTCCTGAAGATGAGGTTGTTTTCTTTAAGGCCTAATGTACATGCAATAACCTTAAAAATTTTAAGTGTACAAGATATTTTAAAAAACAAAAATACAGTCATTTTCTTGGAACCAGGTCATGACCCACATCCAGGAACAAATCTGGCCACAGAGTAAGTACAGCCAACAGTTGCACTCAGCATCCTTGGAAACCCTCCTGCTGCAGCCCTCACACACTCTGCGTCCAAACCATCAGCAAAACTGCTGGCTCCCTCACAGCGCACCGAAGCCACGTTCTCCTCACCATTTTCGCCGCTCCCTGCCCGGCCCATTCACCATTAAAGACCTATCAGATAACATCACCCTCAGTAGTCAAACCCTTCCCATCTCCCTCAGAGTCAAAGCCAAGCTCCTCTGGCAGCCTACAGGCCCCTACCAGATCCACAGTCCCCTCTGGCCATTCCTTGCCTCTCTGACTGCATCTCCTATTGAGTCTCAGCCCCTGGCCTCCTTGGCTACTTCCTGAAGCCACCAGGAAGACTCATACTTAGATCAGGGCTTTGCACTTCCTGTTCCCCAAACCTGGACCAACTGTGCCCCAAATTGCCATAGGGCTCACTCCCTCTCCTCCTTCAAGGCTCCCCCAGCCACTGCATTCTAACTTGGGATCTGCCCCCACCATTGGCAGGCCTCGCACCTTCCCACTTTACTTCTTGCTATGGCACTCATCATTATATGATTGCCTTATTCATTTATTGTTGGTGTTTCTCTACTAAAATATTAGCTTCTTGAAGACAGGGACTTTTGTCTGTTTCCTTTTCTGAAGGTCCATAGGAGACTCTGAACTATTTGTTGAATGAATTAACAGTGCCTGATATGTATAGATGCTCGATAAATGTTTACTAGGATTTAAAATAATAGATGTATGTTTACCTGCAGGTACGTTCCAACATTCATGCACATAAGAGACTAGTATGCCTCTCAATACATGTGTGTATGTCTATATATCTCCTATACATACTTCCTGTGATGATGAATAGACATATTCACAATACAACATAGAAAACATTGTAGTGTCTTACATTACCAACACCATCAACCACGTGGCTGGCTCAAAAACCTCTTAAGTATTAGAATCACCTAAGGAGCTTTTTAAAGATGCCCAAGCTCCACTCCTCAAGGTTTAGATTCAGTGGGTGCCATGGTCTGAATGTGTCTCCCCAAAACTCATATGTTGAAATCTTAACTCCCAAAGATGATGATATTAAGGAGGTAAGCCTTTGGGAGGTGCTCAGGTCATGAATGGCATTAGTACCTTATAAAGGAGGCCCCAGAGAGCTCCCTAGCCCTTTCACCATGTAAGAAGACACTGAGAATGATCCAGCTCTGAATCAGGAAGAGGGTCCTTGCCTGAAGACCATGTCAGTGCCTGGACTTTATACTTTTCAGCCTTCAGAATGATGAGAAATGAATTTCTGTTGTTTTGAGCTACCTGGTCTGTGGTATCTTGTTATAGCAGCTCAAATGAACTAAGACAGTGGATCTGGAGTGGGGCGTGAGCAGCACTATTTTTAACAAGTTTCAGAGATGATTCCAAGGCAGACAACATTTGAAAGCCCCTGAAGCATATTATGAACATCTGGAGTAAACAGTCCAGCCTATGTCTGAATCACCCATCCCACCCAGCTTGGGGAGGGGGGTGTGTAGTAGGGCCATAAATGACCATGTCATGTATTCATTCACCAAATGCATTGGGGTTTGACTTCACAGATAGGAATTATTTATGGACCAAGCTGTACAATTTAAAAATTGATCTATGGCTTTTGAAATGTTCTTAAAAGATTTTACTTTTTAAAAGACTAAAGGAATTTATTAAAGGACTGCCTCAAGAATTGTATTAAGCAAGAATGGATTTCAGATCCATCAATTTTCTATTTTAAACAACAGAAAACAAAGCCAAACCATCTATCCTCCCCTTCCTTTTGACCCTGCACCTGACCAATTCAGTGTCACTTTGAGACAACTGAGATAATGGCCTCCTGACAGAGCACAAAGGAAACAAACAACCTGTTTATGCCAACACGGGGTCCTATTTTCATATCCCAGGAATGACCTCAAGAAGCAGCTGAAAACGCTGACCAGTTATTGTCTAAACATTAATTACGCCCAAAGCGGCACTGTTGTTCTCGAGTCTTGGCAAATGCAGCCTGACAACCAGATGGAGAACTCTGAGCAGTGGCGTTCCGGGGGTGAATTCACTGAGCTGTCTGGGAGCTCCTACTGGAGCTAACCTATACCAGCAGCCCACTGTGCTCAAAATAAAATATTACTAATACCCTGCAGGAGAGAAAATATAACATAAGGAATGAATTTTCGAGCCCAACCAACTTCGAGCCTTAACCAACTTCGAGTTGGTTAGAATCCCAGCTCAGCTACTTACTACTGGGTAAGTTACTTAAACTCTCTAAACCTCAGACTTGCCCAGTAGTCCAGTGGCTAGGACTCCGCATTCCTGATGAAGGGGGCCGGGGGTCTGATCCCTGGTCAGAGAACTAGATCCCACATGCTGCAACTAACAATCCCACATGGAGCAACAAAGAGTTCACACGCCTCAACTAAAGATCCTGCATGCCGCAGCAAAGACCCAGTGCAGCCAAATAAGTAAAAAAATGCTTACAATAATAATAAATAAAAACTATAAAAATCAAACTCTCTAAACCTCAAGTTGTCTGTCTTTAACACATGGCAAAGTTTGGAGAATCAAATTTGATCATCTGTGTGAACAGAGAGGCATGCTCAGTAATGTTTGCCATTTTTTCACAGTAGCAGTGATCCAGGACCATTTGTGGAGACATCTATTCGTTTGTGTTTTCGGCTCTGCCTTTTCCCTGCCCCCACTCCATGTACATGCCCAGCTTCTCGGTACAAACTCCCCCACAGAAACTGTGAGGTTCAAGCTGCTGGTGGACAGCCTGTCTTTCTGGCTGCTGTTTTCCCAAAGCCAGAGCTCTTTGGGAGGAATTCTGTAAGAAGACACATAGAGGATTCCTCCAAAAGAGGAAGAAGTCCAAGGTCAGAGGGTCCCACCAGCAGCAGAGTCCTGGGAGCGATAAGGACACTGGGGTTCACCTGGGCACAGACGGCCAGGGCCTCACCTTCCACAGGCACAGTGGATTTGCTCCTTCCAAGCAATTTTGTGGGTTCAGATGATGAGAGCAATGCAAAATGGTCTGGGCTGGAGACTGGAAGCTCCTCTCCTGTTTCTGTCAACATCTTGCAATCTTGTTTGACTTTAGGGCAATGAAGAGATCCCAACAAGGACCAAGACTGAATCTCCCACCAGTCAGGCAAAATGGAGTCTTAGAGGAATATTTAATTTCAATCAAGATACAATAGAGCATAAGCCTACATTTATAGAGTAATAGTTATGTCTAGTGGGCATAGTATTTCTATTATTGTTAGCTTTTTATCCCTCTCCTGGGAGGCAGAAGTCAGTATGTGGTGACTCACATCCTTACAAAAATTTTTCCAGGAGGAAAGTTCTCTGATATAAATTTTAATTTCAAAAAAATAATTTTAATTTCTTATCTTGGTTTTAAAATGGTGTGAGATTTTAAATTAAAATGGAAGGGGAAAAGGTTTTATAACTGGATAGTTTCAATTCACTAAAATAATGCCCACAGGGAAAACGTGCATAAAAAAATTTCAAATTATAACTGACTCTGTACTTAACAGTTAAAAACACAGGTATTATAGTGCAAAAATCATGGCAGTCTGTGGTGTCTGTTACTGCTAAGGTTGAGAAGTACAAAGTAGTACCACCAATTATCACAGTTTCTATCTAGTCTTTGAATCAATAGTTAATATTTCTTCCAAATACTAAGTATTTCACCAGTTCGTGTCTGTGCACTTGCCCCAATCAGAGTGGTTTCATGAGCAAAGCC